TAGAGATCATAAGTGAGATCTACTCTTCCCTTGATTTCAAACATGTATATCATGTATTTTGATCACATCAACTCCCCCGTCCAACTTCTCCCACACCCTCCCCCCTTATTATCTTCTCAATTTCATATCTGTTTTTCTTTACAGATGAGTCTAGTTGGTGCTGCTCAAATGCATAAGGGTGCAGGAATACCCACTGGAACATGGAGAACATTCAAGAGGAGAGGCCACACCCCAGAAGAAAACTGACTCTTCCTTTCCCAGCATCCATCAACTGCCAATAGATCTGAGCTACAGATGGGGACTCATGAGCCCCACCCCCATCCATGGCTTGATCTTGTTCAGCTGTTACACAGGTAGCCACAGCAGCTGTGAGTTTGTGCGTACAACAGCTCCATCATGTCCAGAGGATACTTTTTAAACCTGAAGTGTGGAAACGAACTTAGAAGAATTGGCCTTTCATGAAATCTCCTGCTCCAGCTCAGAATCAGAACTGAGTATCCTTATTATATCTGTTCCCATCTGCAACAAATGTCTATGAACGAAGTGGCTAAAAACAACAGAACTTTACTCTTCATAGTTATGGGAACTATAAATCTAACACTGAGGTGCAGCCAGGGTCATGTTCCCTCTGAATATTCTAGAAGAGAATGTTCCCACTGGGGCTTATAGTAAGTATTCAATAAAACTGGAAGTTGAGACTGCCACTTGGCAACTCTAGACTCTTAGTGCTATTTAACCATCCTTCCCAGGAAGAGATAATTGCACTACCTGGAGTGATTGGTCCTACCAGGCTGCTATACAAGAGGATAAGAGGAATATAGGAGATACTTTGGGGCAATTACTTGGTACCTAGTATTTGTAGACTTTGTGATATGAGTTAGGGAAAACCGTAACAATTGCTACAACAGACCCTTCAGGAAAAAAGGTTTAGGTCATCCCACAAGGCAAGGAATTACTACCAGCTGTGACATTTCCTGAAGGCAAAGGCAAAATAAAACAGGTCATGGCAGAGAAAGAAGGTAGCTATGAATAGTAGCCATAGTAACATTCCCAGATGCATTTATGAGGGCAGTAATAGTATGAGCACTTTCCCTCATTTTGATATGGCTGTATGTATTAGCTAGCTGTTTTCTATTTGTCTACCTCTCAGTACTCGTTAGCAGTAGACAGCCGTATATGTTAGTATTTAAGTTTCAGAACATCAGAAGTGTACAGTGAGAAAGAACTCAAAGAGTCTGAACCTTTGGGGGAGTGGGAATGAGCTGGTTTGGCTTGTAAAGAGGAAGGCAGCATATTATGAGTAGTATGACTACTGTGAGCATTATTTGAAAAACAAATAGGAACAAGTGTACGTGACTGTCCAGGTGACAAGAGTAGGACTGAAGTAGCTTTGTACTGCCAGTCAACTGTGCTAAGCCAAACTACATTTCCCAGCACTCTTTTTCCCCTTCATGGTTCTGGTTTCAGTTGCCTACAACAGAAACTTGCAATATTTAAAAAGTGGATGTGAAGTCATTGCACATGGAAGGAAGGTCTACGTGGCATCCTGGGCACAGTTGCAACTTGTGTGAATGTCTGCTATTTTGCTGACTTGCCTTAATGTTAAGGAGCACTGACCAGGCCTGTGGTGTCTTCCCTGTATCCAGGGTAGGGCACATGTACACCTCTTTAGCCAATGACACCAGCTTCTACAGATTGGGTCACTGGGATGAGAAAAAGAAAAAAAACGGGCTCCAATTTTTCTCACAGGTAACAATTTGTCCGAGCCTCCTCTTTCTTTGTATCTGACTTGCCTTTCCTCTGCACACGGACTTACAGTGACTTCAAACTCACTATTAGACAACGAGGCAAAAGTCTTTCATAAATCTTTTCACCATTTCCCTTTCATGGCCCTGGTTTAGTGGCTTTTCTATGAGCCTATAATCATTCCTTCCTAACCTTACCACCCCAGCTTCTCCATAATAAAGTCTGTATTATAATAAGTAACACACCTCTACAACAAATTCTTAATACCACTTTTAGTGATTCTGCCTCTTCGAGCCAACATTTTTTGTCTCATATGAGTTTTGTAGTTAAGCTTACATCTTTTCCCATAATTTTAGAATTGGTTTTAGTTAAAACATGTTGGAGTATATATTGACATCACCTTAAATGTACAGATTAATGGGATCTATTTTTTAGTAGGTTGTCTTTGTATTCAGAGGACATTCTTTTAAACATTGAAATCTACTTTTATATTCCACTCACATAAAAGTTTCCTTTATGTGAATCTTGAGTTTCTATAAGTTTATTTTTAGGTACTTTTTTTTTTGTTTTTGCTTTAGGTAATGTGATTTCTTTTATTAAGTTCAAAATTCCTATGATGGTTAATTTTAGGTGTCAAATTGGTTGGGCTACAATGTCCACTTGTTTGCAGTGTCCACAAGGTATCTTGTGGGTGTGGCTAACACATATTCATTTTAAGCAGCTTATCTTCATTAAAGTGGCTGAGTCTCATCTATTCAAAGTGACTGAGGGTCTTAACCCTCAGTTGAAGGGTTCGTAAGCTCTTCTTAAGGAAAGACTTAGGTTTCCTGAAGAAAGAGCAATTTTGTCTGTGGACTCCAACATAAAATCTTGCCTGGGTTTTTAGACTAGTAGAGTCCCGATAGGTTTTAGATTTAAGACTGCAACATCACCTTTTACCTGTGAATCTGATATACAGATCTCAGATTTGGCAGGCCTAACAATCATAAGCTCCCCACCCCCTTGCTTCTCTGAAGAACCCTAATACACTTCCTAAGAACACGGAAAACAACTGAAGTTCAAGTCTTGACATACTGCCTGGTATGGTAGAAAATATATGGCTTAGACATCACAGACCAGAGTTTACTAGGGCAAATGGCCTAGTTTTGGAACCTGATTCATCATCTGTAGAAATGGGATAAAATTACTTCTGTGGCTATAGTGTTACATAAGAACATTGCATGTGGAATGCCTGCCAGGGTTCTTGGCTCACACAGGTACACTGTAATATGCTATGGTGGAGGCAGATGTACTGTTTAGTTGCCTAATTAGTGGTGAGACTTATTATTAGTCAATCAAACTCCTGGATACCATTATATGTGATATATTTTATTTGACACAGTGTCACCAATATCACCTTTATGTAAATGTACCTAAATGATTTGTTGTTTGTTTAAGACAGGGTCTCAGTATGTAGCCTGACTGGTCCTAAACTATGATGCCTGGGCTGGCCTTGAACTCACAATCCTGCTGCCTCAGTCTTCCAAGTACTGAGATTACAGGTATGTGCCACCACTTCCAGAAGATGTAGAATACAAATACCAGTTGAGGTTAGCTCTTGGGACTTATCTATGTAACATGTAGAGCAGGTTTGTTTCCAGGAGTCTCCTTTTAATTTAGACAACTGTTATCATAAAGATTTTCTGAGAAGTAAATGTGGTAACATAGGCAGAAGTGCTCAGCATAACCCAAGCACAGATGTTCAACTCATATACTAGGTGTTATGGGAGTAATTAGGATTTCAAGGACAGTAGGATCAGTTGCTGCACTACAGGGGGCTTAGTACTTCTCCATCTAGTAAAGACAAAGTCCACAAGACACAGGAGAGATTCATGAAACCCAGATAAGTAGAATAATACACAGTGGGCATATAGTTTTAAAAACAAAAGATTCTACTGGAAGAAGATAGCAGCCTCACAGACCTCTGTTTTTCTGATCATGTGCCCTTGGTACCTGATTCATCATTAAGCCCAGGCACAGTACTTCCAAAGGTATGCCACCTCGCCCAGCGATGGTCTCAACTGGGAGACTGGATGCCCTGAGAACCGAGCCAAATCAATTCTGACAGCGAGAGAGAGCCTGTTCTTGCTATCCGAGGCTAGAAAGCATCAGAAACAATCAGTTCTTGCTGAAAAGCTTTGTCAGTTTGGGGGAGAAATGTGACAACTGAACAAGCAAATTACGTCTTCAGCTTACCAAACAGGTCAAGAGTGTCTCTTGCATTCTGAAAAAGCAAAAACTAAGGAACAAGAAACACTTTGGCTATAAGGGCTTTTGGTCTCCTTACCTCTTAATACCAATTCTCATTATCTTTTTTTCCGTGCATAATTTCACTTCTTTCACAGTCTCGGTGTATTCTCTGCATCCAAACACCCTCCTCATGCTAGAGCTGTTGGCTCCCCTCTCTGCCCCTCACGCCCAGATGGCCTGGGGCCTCACCTGCGTGGCAATCGCTGGAGCCCTGTCCAGCCAAGGGACCATCAGTGACATAGAGGAGGATGGAGCCCCTGAGGTCTGCTGGCGTCAGTGCCGCAGCAGTCCCGGGCGAAGCCCAAGCATGGGGATTCAGGGAGGGAAGGCCCGCTGCGGCCCCGAGTTGGGCTTTGGGGGTTCGGTAACTGCGCCTTGCGTGGGCGGATTCCATCCCACCCCCTCAGTGCGCTCCAACTCAAGTTCACCGCAGCTGAAGATGCCCCAGACCGTGGGCCTCCTGCGCACGCGCCGCGGGCTGCGGGAGGGAACTGCGGGGTGACCCGGGAGGGGCCGGGTTGGCGCGGGGCGCGGCGGGGACGCAGGCCGCCGAGCCCTGGCCGCTAGCCGGTCCCTGGGTGCTGCGGCGGCGCGGGGCGCTGGGCCTGTGGCGCGGCGTCGTGACGTCACGGTGGCGGCGGCGGCCGTGGTTGGCGCAGGGTCCGCGGCTGCAAAGTGTGAATTACGCCCGGCTCGCGCCGGCAGCGGAGTGCAGGGCGACTCGGGGGAGGGGAGGGGCAGGGCTCCGGCGGCCCTAGCTGCTCGTCGCTCCTGTGCGGCCGCTGCGCTCAGCTCCCGCCGCGCAGAGCGCGACCCGCGCTCACCCGGCCGTGGAGCCCTGGGGCAGCGGGTCCCCGTCCGACGCCCGCCCGGCCCCCGTGCCCCTCGTTCGCAGCC